AATGGACATGCAACATCTGGACGGTGATTAAGAATGTATAATGACTTTTTAGATGAGAAAATCTGATAAAGCTTCTGAGTTGTAGATTCTTTAATCCGTCGTGTCACTATTTTCAATGCTTTTTTAGGTTTGTTTACAGATTTGTCTTTCTCTCTCTTGGTTTTATCAGCCTGACCGTCCGGACGAGCTAGACCGGATTCAAGCCGCTGGTGGTCGGGTTATCTACTGGGATGGCCCACGTGTCCTTGGAGTACTTGCCATGTCACGAGCCATAGGTCAGTAAATTGATTACACTTGACGAAACACTCTCTGTCCCTGTCCTAATGTTTTAATTTCCGTACCTTTCAAATAACAACAACAATAATTAAAAAAAATCTCGTTTGCCGCGGAATTTTGTGTTTTTTCAGGCGATAATTACTTGAAGCCGTACGTTATCAGTAAACCGGAAGTAACCGTAACTGACCGGGTCAAGGAAGATGATTTCCTTATACTCGCAAGCGATGGTCTTTGGGACGTTGTCACAAACGAAACTGCATGTGCCGTAGTTCGAATGTGTTTGAGAGGAAAAGTCAACGGTCAACTGTCGTCTTCGCCGGAAAAAGAAATGAACGGCGCCGGAGTCGGGAATGTGGTTGTCGGAGGAGGAGAGATCTCCGATAAAGCGTGTGAGGAAGCGTCGCTGTTGCTGACGAGGCTTGCATTGGCTAGAAGCAGTTCGGACAACGTAAGTGTTGTGGTGGTTGATCTACGAAGAGACACGTAGATGTCTTCTTGTCTCTCTCTCGCTCGTACTGTTTGTTCTTTTTTGGTCCTGAGTCATCGACTTTTGGGCTTTTTTGTTTAACCTGTTTTTGCTCTTCGGTGTAAGACGAAGGGTTTCTTTTTTAGCTTTGACTTTTGGGTTATGTTCACTGTGTAGTGAATAGTGGTTTAGATCTTTCCAGAGATTTTCACTGGTAGTGAAACGGTAAAATGCCGTGAACTTTGGTAACATATGTGAAAGTTTCTGTGTCTATTTTACCTTAATTACCTTAAGTCTTTAATATTTTTATGTTAAATTAATCCATTATCCAATCATACTGGAATTTCAAGATATGATGTTGAATCAGTTGATTAGATGAAATTGAACATTACAGTATTTGATTGTATTGGATTTAATAACATTTTCTTTTCTTTGGTTCGTATATAACATATTTTTTTTTTAAATAAGAAGATTACAAATCTAGAAAACAAGTATGGGTTCATGAAATGGTAATCAATAATCAGGCCAATACAATGATAGCAACGCGCGTGGTTCACACACTCATGTGACATGTCCGAAGACTCCGACTCTATAAGATTGTGATATATTCTTCTCTGTTGGATATTAAGAAAGTCATATACTACTAGGTAAATAATCTACTTGATAAACATTTAAGTGTTAATAATAGCTTAATATATCAAATAGAGCCCAGAAAAGAACAAAAGTTGAATATATTCAACATCACATAATCATCCGACTTTGTAATTCAGCTCGATTATATATACTAACTAGGTAATCTACGCGCTTTGATTTTATGTTTCTTTGGTTGTTGATGTGTAGGTTCCCTTCGCTAGAGTTATATACATTGAGCAATTTGACTTCCGAATGAAAGACGAAAAAAATACTATGGACTTTCCCCTAGTAAATCAGTCTTGCTTAGGTATAGAATCACACTTTTATCATCATTACTACTTTGGCGTTGAATTTGATTCATTTTGTGATTCAATGTATGTTGTTTTCATACCTGCTTTCCCCATCAAGTGCAACCCAACATCGTCTTTTATGGTTACAATGAAACCATTCGTGAGATTCATGCAGAGTATGATCCCGAGAGAAAGACTAAGCCTAAGGTCCTTTCTTTAACCATCTCTATAATTCTTGCTATTTAATAGTTACAAACTTTTGCATGGGGTTCTACGTACATTGGGTCTCTGAATCCTCACCAGGAAAAGATCCCTTAAAGGTTAAAGTCCGATTATTTGAGAAACTCTTCAAGTCTGAGAGGTACTATGTACTCACTTTTGTTGTATTACAATATATCTTCATGGTTACATGAGCTAAAATTATGTATGTAATCATAAAAGAACCCTACTGAGCTCAAAGATGATTGGCTCACTGACATAAACCCAAACTCCAAAGTGGTAGTTTCTGATGTTTCAACCATTAAAGATGCTGTGGTCGGGGACATATTCCAATTCGAGAGGAATGATATTTTTCTTTCAATTCTAGATGAACTAACAACAAGTGGTATCTTTTATCCTCAAAAATCAACATTGACACCACTGTACGATGAATTAGGTTATTACACAGTTGACCCGGAAAGCTTTTGTTTAACCCGACGGTCACTCTCAAATGACCTCTACAGGAGGAAAGATGGGAAGTAGAAACACTCATACCAAACATATGGACATTTTGTTGGTCCAAACTCCCCCAAAACCCCAAGGAAGTGATACAATAGATGTAAAAACAACAGATACGTGGTGCTAATTTTGACTGTATCTATACACAACAAATATATGATGTTAATTTAGGAAGGATAATCTTTAGACTGAAGTATTTAAATAATTAGGCGCATAATGCATAAGGGTACATTCAAAGCCTCTATTGTGGAAGTCTCTTGATAGAATGCAAAAGATCAAGATAGACGTTGCATAAAAACATATGATAATCTAATATGTAGATTTTAAGATTTCATAAGCCATTAAAATTCTTGCTCTGAATAAGATCATTAGACCCGAGTGAGTAGTCAAATATTTTATTGTAATTAAATCTCGCCATTCAAACGGAGAAATAAGGTTAATCCGTTGTTAGAATTTTGTTTGGTGCTAGTCAGGCGTTTGGACATAGCACATAGTGGAAAAACTAGGTTAATTTTCTTAATTTTCACCGATAGATATGTGATAATATTATATTTGAAGAACCAATACTATACTAACACTAGAGCTGGTACATGCTCATTTAAATTAGTTGGGCTAATTATAATCGTGTGGCCGAAATTATGACAGCAACCGTAGGTCCTTCCTATAAACCTATAAACAAAGGAGACAAGTGCCTCACTCACTAAGGTAAATCATTGTTAGATTCATAGACTCTATCTCTTTATCTATCTAAAAATACTTATAACGAAATTTAATCTAACGATACCTTGCAACCAACACAAATTTTAGGGTTACCCTAAATAGGGTTCACCATTCTTTTGCCAGTGCTTACAAACAACGTCAGAAACCGTGATCAATCTTTTTATACATGCAGTACGGACCGTAGTCTCATTTTTTTGTGAGTATGGGCAACCAGGACAATAATATCCATATCCCATCAGTCTCTGAAGAGTCCTTAAAATAACAGACTTTACTTTTAAACAAATTTAAAAACATATCAAAAAACAAAGTTGATGCATACCTTGCAATATGTGGAGACTGCATTGGCGGTTTAGACTCTTCGTCATATGCAGCAACAATCACTAGAGAATCCGAGGAAAGATCTTGAAAAAGTATGATTTTTAGATACATTATCTATACTATTCCTACTTAATAATCTTAGAAAAAACAAGTGAAGCTTTACCTATAACCAAGTGTTTCACAACCGCTTCCATCACCCTCCACAATGGCGCCAAAATCTATTTCTTCCAAATCATTACGCATTCGTTGGTCTCCCTATAAAACGTGGAAACTACATCAATATGTGTTCTAATATCATCGGAACCACCATAAATTTTGGTAAGTACCTTTCTTATTTCTGAGTTGAGTAACAAAGTTTTATTCGAGTTAAGTTCATGATGAAATCTTTTTTAGCATATGGAGAAGAAACTTCATGATAGGAGTCAAACCTTCAATGAAGAAAATGATGTGGTTTAGGAACACATGTACCAAGCAAAATGAGAATGAAAAGGTTTAAGAACCAACATACCTTAATCCAAATCTTGTAGAGGCACATAGTACATAGTACTGAGTCGATGTAATTCTCAAGGTAACCATATTGCTTGAAATCATACTTATGTACACATAAATGTGTGTATGACATGTACAAATACCTAGTTACATATGAAATATAATATTTTAGTATTTATAAATGAAATTGAAACTTTATTGATTTTTTAGTTTGTAATTTTGTACACGCAGAAATTTGTATTATTTTTATGTATAATTTATTATGACCTTGATGCAAAACATAAGTTTTATTGATGTATTATACATCACCGCTCCGTTCTTCATAACTATATGGATATTTTATTGGTCAAAACTCCTCCAAAATCCCAAAGTAGTGATAATAGTGAAGTGGTGTTTACTCTGATGTAAAAACAAAAGATACATGATGCTAGGAAGAATAATCTTTAGATTAAAATATCCAAATAGTTACGCATTGCATAAATTACATAACCATCATATACATTCAAGGCCTCTATTATGAAAGAGTCTTTTGACCGCGTAAACATCTGCCTAAGTATGTTTTTAATTTACAAAATATTAAAAAAATTATGATTTTTAATAAAAAAAAATTATATGGCCGCGTAAACGTTCGCATAGACCGCATAAATGACCGCGTAGACCGCGTAAACGTCCGCATAGACCGCATAAACATCCGCATTAAAAAAAACATAAATTACCGAATAACATAAAATCCCAGGCACCGCCCAAGCCGCATTTTAGAACACTACTTTATTGTTTTACCGTAACACATGAGCCATAAAGATGAATGGTCAAATGTTTTATTGTAATTGAATATCGTCTGTCAAACGAAGAAAGAAGGTTGTGTCCGTTGTTAGAAATTTTGTTTTGGTGCTACTCGGGGGTCTTTGGACCTAGCGCGCGTAATGAAATAATTTGGTTAATTTTCGTAATTTTCACCAATAAATATAGGTGATAATAATATTTTATATTAGGAGAATTAATGCTATACTTTACATTAGAGTCTTCTGCTACAAGCCCATTTTTAATTGGGTTGGGCTAATTATAATCGCACGGCCGAGATTCTGACGGCAACCGGAGAAGACCATCAGTTTTCCGGCGTGATCGCGATTCAAATTCAAACACACTCAGGAAATCATTCATATCATCATCATCTGGTGTTTGAACCTTACCATGGAATCGCACCACGCGACTCTAGGTCGCCGGACGGTAAGGATCTCCGTATTTCTCGCCGTCTTCATCTTCGTCTGAACGGTGTCGTCTTACATCGGTTTTTATGATCTTTGTGTAGTTGGAGGAGATTCGTCAAAAGAGAGCGGCTCAAAGGCTTAGCAAAGCTTCTTCAGGTCCAGATCTTAGCGAAATCCCAAACCCTTCTGGTAATTTCATCTCTTTATTCATTTGTTCGGAGATTTTTTGGTTTTTTTTTTGTCATTGAATAGCTACTTGATCGTTTCAATTTGTAAGGCGTTGCTGCAGAGTTTACAGGGATCAGAAAATCCGAGAGCGGAAATCGACTTTCTGAGGTAACATTTATGAATCTGGAGCTTTATCAAAATTAAACCCAAGTTGATCTAATTAGAGAATTTTGAGATGATAGTGATAAATGGGAATGCTTTTTTGAATTTGATTTTGCTTATTGTCTGAGGATGGGCTCATTCAACTTTTCTGAACATAAATGGGAGTTTTTGTATTGGTTTTACTGATGATACTATGATCTTGCTGATAATGGTTTGTCCTGATTGCTTCCACAGACAGATGTTGGTGCTTTGTATTCTCAACTCAAACAACTGCAGAAGAAGAATGCAGAAATGGAGGAGCGCAACAGGATCTTGTCCTCAAAGGTATTTTGCCTGAAATTGGTTACATCCTTTCCTTGCAGAAAATCTGATCCCATGTTTTTTCTTTTTGATAAAATGTATTGATGATGTGTTGTTTGTCCATGGGCTTCAGCTTCAGGCAAAAGAAGTCGAGAATGAATCACTTGAGAGTCGGTTGAATGTGCTAGTGAGTTACAATTAAGCTTTTCTTTGTCATCTTATCCATTCCTGGTTCAGTTTGTTTTGTTTGTGTCCAAAATATTTGACATGTGCTCTTGGTGGATGGATTACAGGAACAAAACACAGTGCCATCTTTGAGGAAGGCCCTCAAGGAAATTGCCATGGAGAAAGATGCTGCTGTTGTTTTAAGAGTAAGGAGTACTTTTAGTCTTTTGGTGCAAAACTAACCTCCCTGTGATTGTATTTTGATTGGAATAGTTATTGCTTATAGGAGGATCTTTCAGCTCAAGTTAGGACTCTGAAGAAACGCGTTAAAGAGGCAGAAGAGGAACAATATCGAGTATGCTAATAGTCTTATATGCCTTTTCAATATTAAGTTTCCTTTTCCTTGTTTTCTAAACTTACTATCACCCATTGTTGATAGGCTGAGGAAGATGCAGCATCTCTCAGAGCAGAGCTTAACTCGATACAACAGCAAGCAATGAGTACTTCATTTGTTGGAGTAACCCCGGACCAAGTGTTAGAGAAGGAGATGGCCAGCCTAAAATTAGAATTACAGGTTTGACTTTGAGTGTGTTTGGGACTGATAATACTTTCCCATCAGTCTTTGTTTCTACGATAGTAATGTTCTTAATATACACAGAAAGAATCAGTGCTGAGGCAGCAAGAACAACAGCGTTTAGCTGAAGAACAAACCCGAGTTGCTTCTTTAATGTCTGAAAAGAAGGAATTGGAACAGAAAATTTCTGTTTTATCCAGCAGTGCCTCAGGTATATCTGTGACGTTATGCAAGTCTTACAAATAAGTCTGTATTGCAGCTGTCACAATCATTCGGGTGTTTAGATGCATTAACTGATGTCTATATGCTTTTTTATTCATTCAAAAACCGGTTTACTGAATGTTGTTGAATGCATATTAATAATTTTGTTCCCGTGCTATTTTATTATGCAGAAGTATCAGAGTCAGGTCAAAAAGTACTTTCAGTGGTAAGAAAATGTTAAAAACGATTATTGCCTCTTGCTAAGATATAAGCCTTCTTCAACGTATAAACATGAAACATATTTTTATTAGAGTTTGCCCTATGAAAATTCATTTTAAGCTTTAACTTTTATATGTATTATGGAATCCCTTAGTTTTAGTTTGATGGTTTTCATGTAGGAAGATAAAGAAAAACTCGAGAAGCAGTTGCATGATATGGCTGTTGCGCTTGAAAGATTGGAGAGTAGTAGGCAAAAGCTTCTCATGGAGGTAATGTCTTAGCTTTCTGCTAGATTATATACAATAGTCAAGGTTCATGCGTGGAAATATCAAAATCATGCTTTGTTTTCAGATTGACAACCAATCATCTGAAATAGAGAAGCTTTTCGAGGAAAACTCGAACCTCTCGGCTTCCTATGAAGAATCAATCAACATATCAAAGCAGTGGGAGAATCAAGTAAGCTTCTCACGATTACTTTTCAGTGAGAACATTCTTTTGGACTTTTTGTTGATTAATAGCAAATCGTGTAGGTGAAAGAATGTCTAAAGCAAAATGTAGAACTCCGGGAAGTTCTGGACAAGTTAAGAACGGAACACGCTGGTGCTCTTTCACTAGCGCCTTCAGAAGTTCAGGCAAATGGGTCACATGGAACTGAAACTCTGTCCCTCAAGGTTTTGGTCTCCAACTATTATAATAGAACTAAACTTCAACTTAACTGTTGTTAGTGTGATTAAAATATCGTATTAACCTTTTTTAAGGGGGAACTTGCGAAAGAACAGAGCAGAGCTGAATCGTTATCTGCTCAAGTTCTCCAACTCTCAGCTCAACTCCAGCAGACAACACAAGCATACAATGGGCTTGTGCGCGTGTAAGTTTTGCATAGGACTTTTTTCAATCATTTGAGATTCTATCGTCTTGTTGATATTTTTTTCTTTTCGATTGTGATTCATTGCAGCTATAAACCTGTGCTTAGAAACATTGAGAGCAGCTTAATCAAGCTGAAGCAAGATGGATCGGTCACAGTGGCACAGTGATTTAGGAACCAAGAGCACTTCCGAGTAATGAATATATTTTTATACAACAAAATGACCATATTTGGAACTAAGCGGACCGTGAAATTAACTCATTAACCCTTTTTTTATGTTCTAAACAATATGATTGAGTCAATTTTGGCTTGGGCACATGTCTTTTAGGTCGATTTGGTTTGATGAATTTCGGTTTGGTCCAGAGAGTCGATTTCCTTAAGTTTGGTTTTTGTCTTAGTTACAAGACTTCATTAATTTTGTTACATGGTTATTTGATTTATTATAATTTTTTCTGAATTTTGTTATTCGATGAATTAAGGGAAATTAGC